TGATGGACGTGGAGTTGTTATTTTCTTTGTCTTTTTCTTTGTTTTTTTACATAAGTTTTGATTGCGGCTCGGGCAATTCGCCCTTATTTTCTTTCGGCATCTTTGTCTCGATGTTGTTCCTCGTATGATGTCTCACCCAGTCTCGATCCCTCCTCTTTTGCGCATATGGGATGGAGGAAGTCCTGATGGAATGACATGCTTGTCGTTTTTGCCTAACCATCATCATTGCTTGTCACTTTGATCTGTTGTCGTCACAATAAAAGTTTGATGATTGTTACGGTGTCTGATGTGTGCGATGTCATTTTGCATGATCGGAAATGATTGTTTGTGGGACCACTGGAGGATTAGATGAATGGGTAGGTATCTATGTCACGTAGCGATTTTGTATGTAAGATTGACTCTCACTTTTGCACAAAAATCAGCCAACAGGCCCGTGTGCAACTGAACACCTCGTGTGGACACGTGTAAGCGCGATCTGATCAGCGCGGCCTAAATGTGTCCACACGCGGGCGATCCACAATCACCGAGGAACTTGGCAGCCCCAGTATCAGGATAAGCGCGGAACTTACTTTTTGCGAGAGTTTGAGCCGGTAGGACTTTCCGCCCCCATACCCTGAAAGTCCCTTGTCGATCGAAGTACGATCCGATGCGTGCAGAAGGTTCTTACTACGCCGTAGCTAGTGATCCACCAGAATGCCAAGATGTCGTACCTTGCGGACTGGGAAGGATTGCGGGATCCAGAGAACATTGAATACTAGGAGGGAGAACAACTGAGGCTGAGACATCCGGAATTTTCCTGTCTAACCGAGAACGACCGACTGCGTCCCAGCGACTTCCGCCGCGCAATAACCAGCGACCCGAGGGCTCCCGACTACCCAACTACGTATAAGACAAAATATTTCATATCCCTCGACTTCGTCGTTATCGCCACCAATTTCCTCCCTTCCACATCCTCCTCCCGTACCACCAACTCACGGTGGTGCCGTGGAATTCCATAGCCCCGTATTAACCCCACACGCCGTGGAGAAATTGCAGACGACGCGGCAACCGCCGAGCCTCTGGAATTACAGAGCCTAACCATAATGCGCGACGCCAACCACCACGTGTCTACACCTGGAGGTCCGACTCGTAGAAATCGCAACGCTCACGGATGGACCTCTCCTGAACCGCCGTCACTAAAACGGGCGGATCGGACGGCCCCAGGGCGCACCTCGCATGCCATCTACCTTATGCTGCACGACATCAATCGCCATTAGACCGAAAGTAACCCGTCCCTTAGCCTCATTTCACCTATGCCCCCTAAACCTTGCCACAGGAGATCTCAGTTCTGACCTAGGACTCCACCTCCAATTTCCCAAAATTCCTTGGCACACCCCTTTTTCGCACTTTCAGGCCCACATCCCACTCCGATCGGGAGGTCGCGCCGGGCGTGAGGTTGGTATCGGAGTCGACACGTGGGAGGGTTACAGGATTCATAGGACGATAACGGGGATCGAAGCGATCTGGCTAACAGGGGGCGGCCTCGACCTCGAAAAGTGCATCGACGCGGCCTCGTCGTTACAAGAAGCCGGTCTGCGGCTCGACGGGCAGCCAACATGAATGTCAATCAACAGAACCCGAACCCACAACAGAACCCCAACCAACAGCTAAATCCTAATCAACCCGTACCACGAGCGCAGGCACCCATGGCCCCACCCGACCTCTACCTATTCGATCCCGCTCACCATCTTGTTGGAGCATGACTGGCCACGCTCCGAGCTCAGCAGTATGATGATAACGAGGCACAGGTAAACATTCCCGCTCGGTAAGGGGGAGATGCTCATCATTGGTTTAACACCTATGTATGGGTTGATCTCCCGACATTCGAGTGAGACTTTATGAACCGATTCGATTATATCCATCCAGAACAGACCCTCTTCATGATTAAAGATAAAGTCCAAAAGCCCCTCGAGTCTGTCACTGAGTACCGACACCGATTTTACCCAATGTTTGTAAAAACCGAACGAGGCAAACAGATAGGTAGAGATTTGTTTATTGACGGGTTTCGTAGCTGAGCGATGAGGGCGAAACTGCGAAAATAGTTCTCCCCCATCAATCACATGCTGCAACAGATCATGGCGGTCGCAGAAGAGATGGAA